CCCAAATGTCAAAAGATATAGAAATATCACATCTGTATCATAAAAATGGCATTTCAATGCCAATTCCAAATACAAGCATATTTTTTAAAGATAAACGTCACTGATTCTTTGGAATGAAATTCAACAAAGGAGTCCCAACTCAGTAAACATTAGTCATAACTAAAATGAGTGGGATTTAACATTGACAAGTTATTTGCTCCACTTAACCACTGGGGAAAGTAAAAAAAAAAAAATCACTAAATAACTGAAGAGATAAGCATGCATAATAAATCAGTGAACTTCAATTCCTCTAAATTTGCATATGATTGGACTGCAATTTTCTCTAGATTAAGGACAATTTTTATTTGTTAATAAAATTTTTATTTGTTAATAAAAATAATACTTGATTTCACTTAGGTTCAATGGTCCTTTTTAATTGGCATCATTGAAAACAGAGACTGCTATTGATAAAGATATACACAGGAACGGAATCTGCTTTCAATCCCTTGAAAACAATCTTTTATTATACAGGCTTGGAAAGGCTTATATAAATCAAACAGATAAAACAGAGTTTTATTATTAAATAAATACATAAAGATTGGTGATGGAGCTGCATTTGTCCCAGCCTCACAAAACTTGGCAAAGCATGTACATCAATGTAGTGAGTACTATGAGATGGTCAATTCTTGAGGAGGAAAAGGAATTTATTGATATAGCGTAAAATGCCATTTTCATAATTTGTGATTATTTCTGTCTAATAAGGTATGTCTTTTTTTTTTTCTATTTCAGAGTGCTTAAAAATACATCCCTTCATGAATTTGTGGCCACTCTTTGCATATATGTTTTAACATTTTGACATTTCTAGTCCTTGAAATCAGGACAAGGCACACTTTTAACACAGATATACTGTATTTCTTGCACCTCTTCATTCAAAAGCCATGTCTTTTTTCTGTGATCTCCCCATGATGGTGCCTTCTTATCTTCCCCAAAGCCTAATTAGTCTTTGTTCCATGAGTCTTGTTCCATGAGTGAGGCAGCCTTAAGTTGTGTTATTTGTAACAATTCTAAAATAGCATTCCACACCCTTTTCTAACATCATCGAAAAGCAACCTCAAGGGCTATGCAATGTATTGGGCTTTGTCTCTCCCTCCCCTCCCCTTTTGGAGGGAAGTGAGGTGGTTGCAGTGATCTGGAAAGGACATTGTAGTAGTGGGATGGGGTTTGGCAATGCTGTAGGGCTGTGCAATTGCTAATGTTTTCTAGTTTCCTGCTAACTCCGGTAGGGGACGAGTATTTCAATTCAGTGGTAGTGGAAGGACCTTAGTAGCACATTTTCACCTCATCTGTAAAAAGAAGATGGCTACCTCCAAACCAAAGAAGCCTGCAGTTGACAGCAAAGGTGGGAAAAGAAAAGACAGCATCACACACACACACACATACAGGCTAATACTTCAGTATTTGTGGGAACTTTGTAGGAACAGTTTAGACATCTAAGTGAAACTTGAAGGATTTGTACATGAAGAACCTGCAGACAAAAGTTTCTCTGAAGTAATAGGTGAATTGGCATACTGGGGTGTACATTAAAGAAAGCTGGATGCCTGTGAAAAATGTCTCTTGAAAAGCTTGTATGTTGATAGAAATATGTAAAATGGAACTAAGTTCAGCTGGATATGTTTTTGTAAGTGTTGGCCTCTGTGTGAGAAGAGTTTAGTTTTGCAAAGTGCGGCCTAGATTGGCTGGGCCTGGATTATACTGTATAAAGATATTTTGTTATTAAGTGAAGTAGTCAAACTTATTCTGCATCCAGTGCTTTACATAATAGTTCATGTTCTTTAAATATAGCAGTTCAGCCATGCTTGTGATTGATTTAACGGCACTGGTTGATAATATCTGTAGAGTTAACTCAGTTAAAAAGAACGTAGAGCCTTGTGACACCTACATGTGTTGTCATAGCAGCTTTTGTACATCTCCCTCACGTGCATTGTGGGCAAGCCGGATGAAGGAAAAATATTATATACACAACTGTTGTGTGTGGGGCAGAATAGTATTAAAAAAAGAGATGAGAGTAAAATTTTCCTATGCATAGTGACCCTTAACAAAACACTAGCTAGATCTGACAGATGATCTTGCATGAATGTACTGGTTAATATGTCTGGTGCTTAATCCAAGTGGTATTAAGTCGCCTGTTCCATACAGTACCTGTCTTTGTCACTTTATATTTATTTGTGTTTATTCATGTTCGTATACTGGCCACTTTCTCTAAAATAAAATGGAGCGGGGTATTGCTCACAGATTACAGTATATACCTCATTAGAAAATGAATATAGCCCTGATTACCTTTGCCAAACAAAGGAGCAAAGCTGGCATGTGATTTTCTGCATAAATTTATTTTGATGACTGTATCACTGCAGCACTGTTCTCACTAATTTGTAAACCTGCCATTCAAACTCTCCAAAAGGGAGATATATAAATATGCTGGCGGGGCCCAGGAGAAGAGCCTTTTTTGCTATGGCTCCTGCCCTTGGGATCATCGTGCCCCTTGAGGTGAGATCCCTACTTATTCTCTTGGCCTTCCAAAAGAGCCTGAAATCCTGGCTCTGCCAAATGTCCTGGAGACCTAATGGGAATGAGTCATACTGGGGGTGACTAATGGACTAAAAATGAGATTCTGCCTCCACCCTATGTGTCCTTTGCTTCCTTCCTCGCCATTTTTCACATTTTAAAGGTTAATTTTAATGCTAATATTTATTACTGTACTGTTTTAATGTTTTGTTTTGTTCCTTTTACTTGTTGTGAGACACCTAGTGTTGACTTTTAGTGAGATGGGTGCAGTGGTGGGATTCAACCAGTTCGCACCACTTCGGGAGAACCGGTTGTTAACTTTCTGAGCAGTTTGGCAAACTGGTTGTTGGAAGAAATCATTAGGGCAGAGAACCGGTTGTTAAATTACTTGAATCCCACCACTGGATGGGTGGCATATAAATTTCATAATATATAAATAAAATAAATATATAAAATCTTTAAGAGTCAGTTTGGTGTAGTGGTTAAAGCATTGTCCTAAAAAGCAGGAAACTGATTTCTTAGGCCTGCTTTAGGCATGAAAACTGGCTGGATCATTTGAGCCAGTCATTCTCTCTCAGCCCAACCCACCTTACAGGGTTTTTGTTGTGGGAAGAATAGGAGGCAGCAGTTATAGATAAAAAGGTGCATATTATAATAATAATATTGTCCAGGTATGGCTGTAGCTCATTTGTGATACTTTTCACTAGTTAGCTGCAAAAATAAAGGACAAATCACATTCTGTTGTTATCTCTTCTGGGTTTATTTTCTAATATAACGAATTATTCTTGGGAATTTAGATTATTTTTTGTCTGACTTTATTGGGTGTAGTTTGAGAAATAGTTACCTATGTTGAATGCGTCCCGAAAAAATGCAGTTGCGTAGTGTAGGGCTTCAATGTAAACAGTGCATTTGTGGTATATTCTCAATGGAAACTGGACATAATAAACATGTCTCTTTCATATGTGATGCAATGTTTATATATGCAATTCTCATTATTCACAATAGCTACATTCTGTGAAAATGCCACAAATACAGTACTGAATTAATGAATGCTGAAATCTCTGCTGTGAATGTGTGCATTAGGCAATTCCAATGTTTTGCTGTTCTGCATGCCTGCTAGTAAGTGCAATAGTGCCATGAGAACTGATCTGGGGATGATGAAATCATTTTTGCAAATAAGCAAATTCACAAATACCAAACCCACAAATAACAAGGATTGCTGCATAGTGCTCACGTAGTCTTTCAGAACTATTCAGAAACTTGCTGCATAGTCTTGATTGATGTTGGAGTAAAAGCTTTTGAAGTCTTAATGGAACTTAATGAGGGTCTGAAGTCCATCAATCTAGATAATAATTATATTTTTATTACAATGTGTTGTTTTGTACATGATTTATGAAATGAAATACTGTACTAGTAGGCATTCAAACTGACCAAGTGTTAGGAGCTAAGAGGGTAGGGTGAAGTAGGAAGAATTGTTCCCAATATTTCTGCTTGGTGCAATCTCTCCTTTGGATCTGTTACATATCAGAGGGGCCTTTTTTTTTTTTAACAAAAGGGAAGAGATGATATTATCTGAGGAGAAACCAGTGCTAAATCTATATTCCAAATTAGCTTGGCTGACAAGAAGATATAGGAGAGAATGGGAGGACATGATTGATAACAAACACGTTCCATCGTCAGCCAAGCATCATAAAAACTACTGCAGGAAATGCCAACACCATGTGAATAAGCAGTCCACTCCAGTTATGAACTTTTGGCCATCCATATCTAAAAATAGCCAGACAATAACCATAGAAAATATGCGTCCTGGATTACACTTTTTGGAATTGCACAATTGTTATTGTCCTGAAGGTACCTGTAACAAGTCATTACCATGGCATCTAGGGCAAAAGGGCACCTGATCCCAAGGGTACATAAATAATCATGGTGTATTGCACAAACCACTGTAGAAACTGCAGTTGGATGAGACAAAATTCCTTGTCATTAGGGCAGAGGAAAACCTGTACTGCACACTATGGCAACAGTACTAGCAACACACAACACTCTTTCTTAGTTTAATCAACCTTGCAGTATTCTGACTGTGCTCTTTTGACAGCATCTATCCTTTTTTTAAAAACAGAGATCTGGTGCTTTTTCAAAAAAGTGCTATGCCTACGCACATAAGGAGTACTGTTAAGACCCAGCCACGGGTTGGAAAGAACCACCTGGGCATTGTATGGACAGATGCCTCTGACTAAGCCAGATGGTTAATTTTTCCTCCACTCTCATAGAGGGCTGCGCCAGCAACTGTAGAAAAAGGTAGCATGCCCACAACAGTCTGAAATGTTCAGTAGGAGCTAGTGTTGCCTAGAAACTCAGGTACCCCAAATTTGGAGAAGCTGATAACAGCTTGATTTGAATCTGAGAAAGACCTTTACCTTTCCAAAGTTCGCTCACTCAAAAATATGAATTCCCAGTAATTCAAAGCAAATAGCATTTATTAAAGGGGGTTAAGTCTTTTTACAGGGTACAGAAATGGTACATACATTCAGTTCAGTATATCTGATACCTCAGAAAAATATATATTGAACAATAAAAGGCACTAATTACATGTGAGAATTATACAAGAGAAAATATTGATTCTAGATAACATTCCACAAGCAGCAAATTTATGGATTACATTGCTCCCTTTTCCAGATGAGTTTGTATCCTCCTTAAAACTTGCAATGACTTGCAGAATATTGTATAGTGTTGAAAAAGGCAAGATCTCTCATACCAAAAGAAATGGCTAAGGAAAAAAAAATATTTTCCTGAAGTTAGAAAACAAGTCTAGATTGCTATGCTAAAATGCTAATATTGGTTTTAGTAAGTTAATAATTAGCCTAAAATTACAGGCAACATTACAAGCAGATCCCATCCTTGATCATTTCAGCAACAATGCTATGGATAGAGAGTTGGATTGTACGGATTACAAAAGCAGGTACCAGCTCTGGATGACACAAAGCAACAACTAAATCCCACGGCAGAAAATAAATAAATAAAAGGGCATCAAAACTCATCTATACTATAGTCAGTAGGAAATGAGTAGTAGACCTACCTGGAAAATGCTGCAAGTTGTGAGAATCTACCTATACGGCACTACTGAGGAAACAGCCTTTCCTATAAAGCTTGGTTTTCCTGCGAACAAAAACCTATACGAAACCAGGAAAGAAAGTCAGCAAGAAAAATAATAATCTTGGGCCACTTTATTTATTCAGGGAAAAAAAAAATAGTACAAGCGGAGCAAATAGTATATTTTGCACACACTACTCCCTTGCTGCGTAGCCAGGCGAATGACGTCCAAAGGGCTTCCTTTGCATCTTTAACGAAAAAACAACAACTCTAGAAGCTCACGGCCCCACTGAACACACCAGCCATGCGCAATGAAGCGCGTGCACAATTGCGGGGGCCTCGACGACCCGAGCCGGATTCTGTGCACGAGCCCTCTGAAAGCGCTCCCGTCTCGTGGGGGGGGGGGGGCGCCACTTCCCCTCTGCTTTGGGATTGGCAGCCCAAGGAAAGTAGTGGATTCCAAGGTTAGCTTCGGCAAAACGATTGCCATGGAAACGAGAACGCGGCGGGTTGAGCGTTCTCTAGGCTTCTGGAACCGCAGCAGCAAACCTGCGATAAGTTGGGGTCTTTCCGGAGCTTGGTGATCATCAAAGATGAACAAGATTTCAAAGAAGGAATCGCGCATCAGTAGAACGCCCCCCGGTAGGCTAGTACAGGGAGTCCACGGGGCTTAGTATAAATTTCATGTAAAACTCAGCCTGTCTGATCACTTTCGGTATAAGCTTAGTATTGTTACAGTGACGAGCAGTAGTAGTGGAGAAAACAGGGATAATGCTTTGTGTGTTACCTGTAATTGTCCTGATACCCTCAGAGATAAAGGGTTATTATTAACAGCTTTAATTAAAATGTTTACCATGCTGAACTAGATCTTTTCTCTTTGATTCCATGGGAGTGGCTGCAGCAGGCTTTTTTGAACCAGATGAATGAACTCTGTGTGACCTCATATATACTTTAAGACTCTCTTACCCTGTACCTTCAGTCTCTAAAGTTCATTGAATTCATTTAAAACTATTTAAATCGTTTTATAAGGTTGAGTTCTTGCTCAACTGGATAGTTAGAGATGGGTGTTATGCTAGCTAAAGAAAGTGCGTATAAGGAATGGTTTTGATTAGACACCTAGAAAAACAGATAGGAGCAACAAGAGGGGCATTGAGCATCCTAGTCTGGATGCTTTAATGCCGACAGAGCACAGCATGTGGGTGCAAAGTGAAGGGAGAAGACAGAGTGAATGGGCAACATTCAGTAGCAATAAATTCCAGGACAAACAGTGTTTAATGTAAAAGAATATGATTGTGGTCTTTAATAACTTTAAAATGTGGTTAATGAGTGAATAAAGGAACAGACCATATTGTCTACATTATAAAAACAACAAATGCACTCCTGAAGTTCAGAAAAATCAGGCTATATGTATTTCAACTTCTGTGGTCACTTCTTGCAGCCACTTGTAATATCTAGCCACTGAACCCTCAAAGTTCTTTTTTCTTCCTTTAGTCAGAGAGAAGCAGCTAAACAAAAATAGCTTATGAATAACGATCCAGCAAATGTGTTTGTTATTAATGTGCATCATTTAATTTGTATGACAGGATCACTATTTCCAGTGATAAGAGCATGAGAAATGTTGTAGGTATCTGGTAGGACATTTTCTATTGTTTTGGGGTATAAGATCTGTAAGCATCTCAGACCAATAATATCAAATTTGGCCTGATACAGAAGTAATAGATTCTCAAAATAGATGTAAGATAAGGTTGTGTAATAGCTGAATCCTGGACTTGTACTGTATAATGAGGTGAAGCTTCACTTAAATCAGGGGTGTCAAACTCAAGATCCGGAGGCTGAATTCGGCCCGCGGGGCTGCCCTGGAATCAGCAAAGCACTGGCCTGCAGTTCCTCTGCCAGTGAAAACAGAGCTCGGGAGGGCCGCGGGTGGCATTCCCAAACTCCGTTTTTGCTGGCAGAGGGTTGCAGGAGGCCATCGCAGCCGAAAATGGAGCTTGGGAGCCTGTTTTTGCTAGCAGAGCGCTCAGGCCACCACAGGTGCCTCCCAACACGAGTGATGTCAAACTGTCCACGCCCACCCTGGCCTCCCAAGGTCAAACACAACCCTGATGCAGGAAAGTACCAGAAAGCACCAGAATGCAGCACAAAACATGAAATGTGCTATGAACTTCACCCTGTAACAACAGAGATCTTGACTAATATATTGGATAGTGCTGCCAAAGGAAATGTTCTAGAGCCCATCAACATTCTTCTTTTAGAAAGTGGTCAAGACCACCCCCACCGTGGGCATTTTTTATTTTTTAAAAAGCTAACAATTTGCATTGTATCATTTAACTGAATTTCAATGCTTGAATGCTATTTTAATGTTCAATTTTAATCTGATATTTTGGAGGTATTATTACTTCAGGTTTTTCATACAAAGAAGTACCATAGGATAGAAAAGAATAACAGAGAATAGAGGAAATATTATTACAAGGAAGCAGAAACACATCTCATTCAAAATCAGGGCTAGGTGATAGGGTATTAGGGACCTGCTTCAGTTATCATAGTGCCAGTTTAGGTCATTTGGAAAACAACTGTTTGACAAGTCCTATCTCCCCTTCTGTGTAGTCCGCTTTCTTCAGTTCAGGAAGAGGATGTTTGTGACTATATATGCATGTGTGATCTCTGATTAACTACCATTTAGCTTTGCAAGCTTCTCTTTGGACCCAAAAGCATGACATCTTTGATTTAGAACAGAGGTGTGATTTTTACCCAAACTCTTGGCTATGGCCCTCGTAATATCTCCAGAAGTTACCATTTCTAACTGAATTTTTAATAAATAGCATAATATTGAATTAATTGTATACATAATACAATTAATTTTTTTATTTTTATTTTGATTTAAATATGAAAAGTGATTTGGTCATGCTAAAATGGTCAGGCCACCATATATATTGGAATTACTATATGAGAAAATGCTAAGATGTGAGGAATTCATAATACATTTTTACATAATAGAATAATAAAAATTCTAACGATGATCATGCCTACTTGCGGTTATGACCCTAACTACCTACCAAAAAAGAGGAATTTCCTCTTCCTGAATTATTTTTAATTGCATGTAGACAATATGGATGTATATTCTCTCTCTTTTCCTCTCTCTCCCCTTCCCTCCCTCCCTCCCCCCCTCTCTTGCTCTCATTTCTCTGTCTCTTTTATGTGTGTACAGTACACACACACACACACACATCTAAATATGCCATAGATAAAATTAGTCCTTTTTTTCAGAAAAAAAAAGAATCAAACCATTTGAGCAGCCTTCTTCACCACTCCAAGAAGAGCCAGAACCTGTGAGCTGTGTACTGCAAGGAGACGAAATCCAGGCTCTTGCGATAAAGCCAGAAGATTTGGCAAAGGTGAGTATTAAAATTTTTCCCTAATTCAGGTAATTTCTTTTGCTGGTGTAACTTTCATGACCTTTATCTGTGGACAGTGTTGAGCTTCAGTGTTTGGCAACCATGGTCTAGACAGAAGATTTCCTTATGTTTTGCTAGCATCTGTGGCTGGCATCTTCAGAGGCCAGGAACTGGCTGGGTTCGGTTGCCTGTGGTCTCTATAGCAGATCTTTTGCCTCTGAAGATGTCAGCCACATTTGCTAGGGAAATGTCAGGAAATCTGCTGCTAGGCTATGGTCACTAAACACTGAAGCTCAACACCACCCAATTGCTTTGCTCTCATCTCTTGGGGGGGAGGGGACACCTTCCATCAGTTGAATGTGTAAAATAATCATCGTGGATCATTGTTTCTCGCTTCAGTTTTGTTAACAGTTTATCTTTGTGGTCATCTCTTCCTATAGCTCTGCCTCCAGTCAGGCTTTGCACTACAGGCAAAGTGCAAAGTGCAAAGAGATAAGCTCACAAGAATCCAAGAACTTCCAATATATAACCTAGTATGACCTATACTAGAGCCATCTCTCCCTTGACTGGAGAAAAAATGAAGGCACAGGGGGTTGGACTAGAAGACCTCCAAGGTCCCTTTCAACTCTGTTATTCTATTCTATTCTAATGGAAACATGTCAGAAAAAGTATGCTGCCAGGGCATGTTTGTGGCTAGGCACAAGTAGGAAAAGGACCATAGGCTCTTTTAGAGTCATCCAATCATCATTGTGCGAATAGAACAGTAAAGGGGACAGGATTTTTTTAAAAAAAATCTCAGTAAAGACAATATGACATTAGAAGATGCTGTAGGTGACTGATATGGAAATTGCCTTTCTGTATGTCACGTTGTTATAATATTTCGGATTCTTTTTTTATTCATATGGGAAACATAGTATCTTCATTGTGAGGCAGCTACTTACCAATGGGTGACATCCTGGGAAATACTTATTTATGTACATTTTATGTGAAATAAATAGTTATTCCAATTTATATTAAAAGCTTAAATGATAATAGGGTACTATGTATGCAATTTAATGTATTCATGCCAGGAAAAGGAAGGGGTGCCTGTGGCATGGTCTGAGTCGGGTGAGTTCTACTTACCTTTACTACCAGTTCGCATGCGCAGATCACCAAATATGATGTCAGGGCGGGTGGGCGGAGCCTCCCACAGTTTTTACTACCGGTTCTCAGGAACTGGACAGAACAGGGAGCAACCCACCACTGGTGTCAGTCAGAAATGTTGTAAGAGAGATAAGGAAACCCTGGAAAGTATATGGATACCTAGATTCTGACACGAAGAAAAAAGAGTCTATCATCTTGTTCATGAAAAGTAACAGAAGTGCACATCAAGCTTCATTCCATCTTTTGCATACATTTGGTAACTCCTATTATTGGCAGTATAATGAGAATAGTAACAGTAGAACTATTGTAAATATTGTTTAATTGAATATGTGTTTGATATGTAGCTTCGGGCTGGAAAACCTCCTCAAGAAGAGAAAGAGAAACCTGTTGTTATCAAGAAGTACCTTGTACGCAAATCTAGGCCGCAAGAAATTGGGAAAAAAACTAATTTGCTGGTTGCTTATCCAACTCTCCCAGATGAATCAAAGAAAACACTGAATTATTCTGGTACAGTTGTCTCCATTTTTTTCATATTGCGGTCCTGATGTTAAAATGTGAAATAATTTAGTGCTAAAAGAGCCATTTATCCATCTTTCAATAAGCAGAAAACAAAATTGGCATGAAATTTGGCTTCCCTCTTGCAGTCCCTATTGTGCCTTGACTGCTTCTTTTCATTGCAGCCATCTGACTTCAGATAATGAGTGACAGAGCGTAAAAGATTGCATGCACACTGAGAGAAAACCTTGCACATGAGAAAAACTGTTACTTTAATAA